AGATGGGACCCGGTTGCATCTCTTTCTATCGTTCGTTTTCCTTTTTTTTCTTTTCTTCCCTCTTCTCTTTTGCTCTAGCTCTTCTTTTTTGCATCATTCGTTCTCTTTCTATCCGACATCCTCGTCTTCTCTCTTCCCGCATCCTCCTCTTCCTTCGCAGCATCCGTCAGGTCCGGATGCCACGCAGGGGACACCACACAAACGACGATGAGGAGGGGGTGGTGGGGAATGAAAGGGGTTGGTTTGAGACGTCCGTTCTCTTGGACCCCAGGAGGGGGGGAGGAGGGGGAGAAACAGGCTTGAAGTGTAGGAGGAAAAAGAAGGATTCTAGAAGGAGAAGAAAAGGATCCAAGGCTTTTTTTTCTTCTTCTTTTTCTTTCCCTTCCTTTCCCGAAAAAAAGAGGAAAAAAAATTGTAGGAAAAAGAGAGATAGGGAAAAAAATTGGATCTCTAGGACTTATCTGCGTTCGCGCGAAAGACGTCTCAGGGCGAAATGAAAATAAGAGCGGAATTGGGACCGGGGCTACATCGTGGGTTGTAAAGGAGGTTGGGAGGAGGGAAAGGGACAGGGAGGGGTTACCCAAACCCTGAGAGGATGAGGATGAAGGCTAGAACATTTTTTTCTTGTATTTTTTTTTCTTTCGTTTTCCTTACGCATACAGTAGTTGTACACCTACACGTATAATGCAGCGCATGCGTACAACATGAACAGTCATAGTGCAGGATCGTGTAGACAGCACACATGACATAAAAAAATAGTTTACCGAAGAAATTTAAAAGATTTCGAAATTTGAGTAACGCATGTGGTTGTTCAGATATGGAAAAATCAAACCCAAAATACTTGTTCAACTGCATAACTTAATCAGTTTACGATAAACATGTTACTGAGTGTTTAGAAAAGTTTATCTCGTCATAAGGGATTTTAGATAGGAATCAAACAAGAAATGTATTGAGTTATATTGATTAACATACGAACAGCAACTTAAGACATTGTTTTCTCTGCATTTGTGTTAATGCATTTGTGTTAATTTATGCAACGTAATTACATCTACATCTTATATCTCTTATATCTACATCTTATATCTAAAAAGTAAAATAAAAATGACTGACACCGATAAAATACATATCAGGTATGATAAAATGAGCGATATGTCTACATGTCATTGTGTCAAAGAACATAAAATGGATTCTAAAGCAAATGTTACTGTCTAATTATTTACTAGTCAGAATTTAAGTCACAAATCACCAAAACATTATTTAAATATGTATAATTGTATAAATATATTTATCACCAAATATTCAATTAATGACAGCTTAAAGCAAAAACAAAAATAAGACATTTAGTTATCATAACTACGTTTTACTTTTGAAAGGAATCCGAACAAAAACAAAATGTGTCTTTAGCATTAGTGCAACAGGTGGTGAAGGAGTATTATGTATTTTGGAGTAAGTACACACTTATAATTCCGCAAAAATCAAGTTTCGAATTTGAATTTTTATAATTATTTCAAAAAGCATCAGTTTATAAATGAATATAATTAAAGGTCATTTATAATGTTAAAAAATCCAAATAAACTTTCTTTTACCATAGTGAGTTAATTTACTTATTATCGATCTATTTTAAAAAGATGAATTCGATTTATAAAATTAATTCTATGTTTTTCTTTGTATTTTTTTCCAGATATTACTATTTTACGGTAAGTAGGTAATTTAAAACCTATCAAGAAGCACATTGTATTTAAATTTTTAAAAAAATCACACCAAAAATTAAATTTTGAAAATTTTTTAAAAAATTGACACTGATTTTGTGAATGATCATTTCTGTTTAAGTAATTCTTAACTTAGTTTTTGCAATTAACTTCAGTGATATTTGTTTTTCTTTTAATGTTCAAGCTGATTAGTATTGATAAACCTAAAAGAAAGATAATTGATGAAATAATCGTGAATATTAATTTTGTTTACAAATTTAATAATTACAAAAATAACATTTTACTTTCAATATGCGTTTTTAATATTGAATAATTTTTTTTTTAAATTTCAAAATTTATTACAAATATAAGGTGCTTTTTCTATAAGAAGTTGAAAATTCATGAAGGTCAATAATATAAACTTTTTAAAATTTGATTCTTATAAGTTTTGTAACGTTAAAATTAAACTTTATTTCTCTTACACACATTTAAATTAATTGATACTGGAGAAAAATTGAATATTTAAAAATAATTCACTTTGTTAAATTGAAATTAGTGATTGATTCTAAAATATATATGGTTGCTAATATAATATTTAGGGTTATAGGGTTCTAAAATATAAATGATTGCTCAGTATTATTAATCAGACTAATTAAAAAATGCATTTTCATTGTTGTAAATTTAAAATAATAAAATATATCATAATTTAATAAAAATATTTAAAATGTGTGCTCCTAGTTTAAAATATGCATTAATATTTTATATTGAAAATCATATAAAATGCACGAGTCTTAATCTCTAGTTATTTTAAGATATCTTGAAAAACATAGGTTTATAAATATGAAACTTATAAGTTGTCAGTCAGATATTTTTTGATACGTTTTGATCTGCTTTTATTCAGAATTCTCAAAACTTAAATTCGTAAGTAATTGAACTTTTTTTTAAATATATTCTGTGCTGCATGTCAATTTAAGAAAAACTTTTTACATGTGTTACGATTTAAACGAAAATAACATGGCATACTTTCAAACCATGATATTTTCAAATATATAATTAGTTACATTTCTGTTAATTAAATAAATAATAGCGGAAAAAGAATTAAAACGAATGATATATGTAGAAAACTTCAAAATGAAAATGTTTTAGTACATATAAAGAAGACATTCTTGCATGCTTTTAATTTCATTAAAAATGTTTTTATATTTAATAAATTAATAATACATATTTCAGTTTTGAGATATTTTTCATGATCATGCGTTTCATGATATTGATAACTTTTGAGACAGCCACCTGAATCAATTTTTTTTAACTTAATAAGTTTTCAAGAATAATAATTCTTTGATTAATTATCGCGACTTTGAATGTAAAAGCTTCAGTATAACCTCTGATTAGTTTTATCGTTTACTTTTCTACTTAAATGACTACAGCTTAAATGACTACAGTTAAAATGATTACAGTTAAAATAAAAAAAAAACGACACCGATTTTAATAGACGAAACTCTTTTAGATAAACTATTAAAACAAGGAAATGTATTTAATACAGTGCAATTGCGAGATTCTATAGGCACAGTTACATGAAGCATTTATGTGCGGTTTTTGCAATCAAGTTTGAAATAAAGAAAAGTATTGCTTTTGAGCACACACACTTATTTTTTTCTCAATTATTTGATACAATATGTAATGTATTTTAAAAATACAATATACCCCTTTAAATATATTATTACTTTTTTAAATGAGAAAAATTAAATTTTCTTATGATATTTTAATGGAGCATAATATTTTAAAACTATAATAGTTAAATTAAAAATGAAACACTTACTCAATAAGAAGATTATGATTAAATAAAAATTGAATGATTGAATGAAAAACTTGAGAAAATATTATTTATTTACAATTTTTTGCTTACGCACATCGGTTTTAAATGATTTGATGGATGTTGTTTGCTAGTAGTTTTACAAATAAACGATTATTTAAATGAATAAATGAACTTTATAGAGCTAAATTAACCAAAAATTTGGAAATAGATAAATGTTAATTGTCTAACTAGTATGTTAAAATAAATGTCTAATAATATTTTAACTCATTTAACCCAGAAATAAAGAAAGTAAATCCCTTACTATATAAAATAGAATAAATGATTATTTTTATAAGCCGTGTATGCAAGATAAATTTCCCGTTGCACACGAAATTTTTTACTTATAAAAATCATTAAGGAAACAAAATTATTCTATTTCTAATTTAATGTTATCATATTGTTTAGGATAATTAAAACTCTCTAAAAAATATACATTTATATTTATTTCAAATCTTTCGAATGACATTATAAAGTAACATATTTTATATTTCAATATCAAAATATAATTGAATGATTTATGCATACTTACACGATATTTGATATTAATTTACACAGAAAGGTAACTATAGTATATTAACTATTCGATGTTACTATCAAATTTTGTATGGAATGTATTTATATTGTTTTAGCAGCGTTTTCTGAAAACTATCTGAAATTTTAATATTTTAGTTTTTACGTTGCATTTAAATAGAAAGGTTCTAGTTTCAAAGATAAAGCAACCAGATGGGAAAATTTTTTTAGTTTTATTATTTTTTTCTCAGATCACAATAATAAAACTATTTCTTAGTTAAACATTAACCAAAATACTGTAAATGTTTTTTTTTTAATTTTTTTTTCAACTTTTCAAAATTATACTGTAACGTTTAAATGCATAATAATGTTAATAACTGTTTAACTGAACGAGAATGATCAAATAACTCTAATTTTCTGGTATAAAATTACTTAATTCGTATGAATATAATAGCAAATTGATAATTTATCCATTTCGATTATTATATAATGGAAGTTATTGAAGTTAAAATAATGAACAAATAACTTATTTTTACAGTAATATTTTCATTTATAAAATGAGTAGGTACCAAAAAAATTGGATGGCATAAAACATTTTACTTTTTAAAACTATTGCAATTTGTTGATGAAAATGTGAAGAATCTAATAATACGTTAGAATAATTCTACAATATAAACGCTTTTTAGATTTATCTACTAGATTTTTTTAATACATTTCTACCAATTATTTTATTTTGGATAAAAGATCTTGAAATGGAGTTAAAAATTATTTTAGCTTTTATACAGATTCACTGTATGTATTATATGTAATGGTAAGAAGTTTAATGGTATACCATCAATAAATTTCTATTGTTTTTTGCGTTAAGAGTAATTCTTCTGTTATCTAGGCAAGAAATATACTTTTCGAATCATGAACTGAATAATATGAAATAACTAACTGATACTTACCGTACCAAGCAAGCATCAGAGAGCTGGGGCGCTAAACGGAATCTCCTGATCCAACTAAAACCAAATTCTTTAATGTGCGCTTCGTGGGATTCCACAAATGTGCCACTCTTTATATGTCACTTACTAAGTTACATATTCGTTCAACACAAGGTACTCATTCACAATTCTGTGTATCTCAGACATTGAAAATTATTATTCGAAATCGACAATGTCCAATTACTTTTAATTTTTCTGAGTTAAAATCAAATTATTACGTCACTAGTTATATACACTCCTATACATCACGTGTTAGTACTTGGAGTCAGTATCATACTGTATGTGATATCACGTGTTGAATCTTCTACATTCCTACGCACACTGATTATCTTCTAAGTTTAAATCAACACTAGATTTGCTAATAAATAGTATTTTCCAATTCTGTGTATTTTTTACTACTTCTCTTGGTTTTCTTTGGCACAGAAAGAGTTGTATTATAAAACTGCCTTAACAGTGCTGTGGAAAAAAGATGGTATTAATTCCTTTTTTCGAAATGTGTTCCAGCGTTGGGTTAGATCTGAGAGCGAATATTGACCGGCAGACTGGTTGGTGGGCTCGCAGGCTGGAATGGCAGGCGCGCACACATCCGCGCAATCATGCGAAAGCACTCAGTGCGAGATGTCGGATGGGCGAGCGCATGTAGGGATGGGAAAAATGAGGGGAGAGTAGTGGGCGGTGGTGGAACACAGGACGATAACGAAGGCAAAAGGGGTTGTCTCCACATAAAATATCGTGTTCTGAAGCAATTTTATGTTTAAATGAGTATATCTGAATGAAAATTAACGGAAAAGTTAACGAAAAATTACCTTGTGTCGAATAAAAACAAGCAATTGGATAATTTAAAAATTTATTTAAATTTAAAATAAATTTAATGAAATTAGAATCCTGTTATTACGCGTTATTCCCCTGAAAGGAATGAAATATTAAGGGTATCAAGAGAGTAAATATAGAAAGAATGTTTTATCTCGCTGATACTGAAATAATGGTTAGAAAAATTCTTAATTAATTAGTTGAAAATGTTTTTAGGGTTTTTATTGTTCATGTACGTAAATTAAGCGAATGCCTTGCTAAAGAAAGTGTTTGCGTTTTGAATAGACATTTTTTTATACGGTTTCGGTCCAAAATAGTATTTTCGAAATATATTTTCAAAATATTATATTCAAAATATATCAAAAATGCGAATTAGTACGAAATAAATTAAATTAAATAGTAGATTTTTTAAAATTATTGCTTACGAAAAGTAATTAATTGATGTAGATACAATACATAAAAAAATTAAATCAAAGTTGAAATTTTTTAAATATTGATGTAATTTGTGTTAAAACAAGAATCACTGAAATAAAATCTTATTTTTTATTTTAGGAGCAATATATTTTTGCATTAGTTGTTATAGTAAAACTTTGCGCAATTTCATAATTTTTATTTATTTATAAATTTTGTTAGACGAGTTTTTCTATTTTAAGCTAGTAATTAGTTTTTTTTAACAATATTCTGAAACATTTCCAAATTCGTCTTTGTAGCAAGATATTTGTTTATTTAATTAAAAATATGTTTCAAAATTAGCAGAGCCATTTGACAATGCTCCTTGAAAAATACTTTGTAAAAAAAAAAAGTTTGTTAAATTCTTTTATAGTGTAAGGAAATTAATATCTAAAAAAAATTCTGAATTACTCATTCACAACAGTATTGTTTCGTTATTGATAAATGTGTTTTATTACCTTTCAACATCACACTAAGTAATCAAGACAAAAAAAAATAATTTTTTTAATGTAAAACTTTATTAAATCATAAGACAAATTCAATTTTTCATACAATATTTAATATAAATATTTTAAATACTTTATAAACTGAACAAGATGCCATAACAATTGTAAAATTTGCGTAAATTTATTGATACATTGATAAATTTATTGATAAATTGATAATTTATTGATAAATACATACATAGCCTATAATATAATTAGGAAAGAATGGACTTAATTGCTTTATAAATTTTTTAATTAGATAAGAATATTTTCTAAGACCTTAAATCAGTTTTTTTTAAACAATAATTAAAAAAAAAAAAGAAAACGAAACCTTACTAGCAATATTGGAACAACATTCAAATTTAGAAATTATAATGCGATATAATAAAATTGAAAGTTATATAGGCTTTAAACTTTTGCAATTTTTTCTCTCGTAAGAACGAATCAGTAAAAATCTATGTGAAGTTGATTACAACTCAGTAAGTTAGTCGTCGAAACATTTATTTGATACTTCAATTATTTTTTCCCTTTTCTTCATGAACAAAATGATGTTTTATAAAACGTTTTTTCATTCTCTACGTAGTATAGAAAACAATTTTGCTGCGTTATCTATTAATGTTTCACAACGTGTTGGAACTGATTAAAATTATTCATTGAAAATTATAATAATATGAGCATAAATGTTTCTTACAATTAATTTGATTGATCAAATGCATTACGGTTACCCAAGTCTTATATAATGATTTATTATTCAATATATTTTTTATTAAAAAATGTTCGTGGCAGAAAATTTAAAAGCTTTAGTAGAAAACATGATAATTGTATTAATGACAAATAAGTTAACTACTCTCTAAGAGTGAATAAATTAAATAGAAGAACTATCAATAGAAATCCTATAGAAGAACTATAAAACTATCCTACAGAAAAACTATAGAGATATCCTATAAAAAATTATCCTGCAAACCTATCTAATTATCAAACTTACTCTTTGACGTGGCAGTTAATGTTTAACCAACTCTTCACATCAAAGTAGAAGTCTCGTAGAACTGAGTAAAGTAGAACTGAGCTTTCCACGTGGTGAAAAAAAATTCTGTTTAAATTACTGTACTGTATAGTTGTATATTAATGACATTTCTGGATTTAAAAAAAAGAAATAAAAAGAAGGATACTTCTGACGATAAAAAGAAAAATATACAGTATGCAAACCATTTATTATGTAATTTTTCTGTTCATATGGTAACAGTTTACCGGAAATTCAGGTTTTCAAAATTAGTAGTAAAAAATGCAAAATTGAAAACTAGATGTAACAAAATAAAGTGTTTTTATGCTATGCTCTAAGGTATCATGGTAAAATTACAAAATTTTATCCCATATTATAAATCATACTTTATTATTCATTTTGTCAAAATCATAACCAAAGCTTTTTGGTGAAAATTACTGGGCTTTTTTGGTGTTCCCATAGCTCAGAAACATAGTAAATTTTGCCCATATTCTGGTAGTTTAACCAAACATTTTTTCTCAGACAAATAGGTTATTTTAAGCTCCTAAGATCTCGCTTAACCGCATCCATACAAGTTCATCTTTATAATCTTTGGAAAAGCATTTGCCTATTTTTGTCTTGGAAATCTAAATTTGCCTATTTAGATTTCTCTTAATCAGTTTCGCTGTCACAATATTCTAATGTTTATAATGATGCTGCATAAATTTTATTAAAGAATTCCAAAATACGTTATTAATATTTAAAAATGAATAAGAATATCATAAACAAAATACGATAAGTTCTAATGCTTCTTTAAACAGCGAATTTTTTTTAAAAACTGCATAGTATGATAAAATCAATTTTGAATTCAAAATTTTTTTTACGAAAGAACATAAATCTTTAATTTTTTTCACCAAGGTTCTTAATTTTATTTTATTTAATAAAAATTAAATACATATATGAAATAGAATAATATACGATAAGTTAATCTTTCTTTAAATTAAATCTACCAATCCCTTATCTAATTAGTTTTTTTTTTAATTTTAAAAATTGAAAAACTTAACAGGGGAAAATTATCTCCGGCAAAATTTATTTTCATTTCAGCTTAAAAACCAGATTAACTTATGAGAGTTTGATACAATAAGATTTCGGCAAAGGAAAATTTATGAAAGTTCCACAAAAAAGTAAATAAGCTTTGAATTGCATTGAAAAAAAAAAAAATAACATGTATTTAAAAGTCTAATTTCTGTTTTTAAATTTGAGAAAATCATTTCATTCTCACTGTTTTGTGTTTGATTTCTTAAATGATCAAATGCAAATTTTACGAGGTTAAAAGTAATTAGATATGTAAAAAAAATATTAGGGAAATTTTTATCTCCTTCCAATAAATAAAACCGCAGAGTCAGGGAGACGATTTAATATATAATGCATTTATTGATTAAAACAATATTTTTAACTGATATTTTAAGCAACCGCTCTTTCAAGATAAGCTTTTGAAGTAATATTTTAAATTAATTAATTATTAAACAATAGTTTTTATTAACTTTCTATGGTTATTATGGTTATTTGAAATTCGTGTTTGATCCAAGCAAAATGTGTTTTTGGTGCAGATTTTGGTTGTATACTTTCAGATGTTTTTTTCTTCAAATTATAGAATTGTCAGAAGTTATTTATGATTTTTGATGCATTTATAAAACATAACGATGCTAATTGATACAAGCTCTTATAAGATACAATGATTTAAAACTCTTATAAATATGCAGAGAATCAAATAATTAGATAAAAAAAATAGTCAAGAGAGTTTTCATGCTAAAATGTAAAATATTTTATGGTATTTAGAAACTAAAAGTGTGAGTAAAAAAATTGCCTTTTATTTTCAATAATTTATAGAATTGTTTTTCATATTTTTACAAACGTAAATAGATGGCGATGTCATTTGGCGGAATAATTATTCCCTCAATCTCGTAATTCATTTCAAACAAATACAATTTATTTTAAAATATTATGTAGATGTTTTAAACAATTATCATTAATATGAAACGATACGATAATGCTTTAACTAATGTTTGGACTATTTTTTAGAATATTTAATTGAAATTTATCGGTAGCACTGAATCACGCGGTCGATCTAAAATAAGAACCGTTCATTTCGCGGATGCGGAAAAATTGAGCATTCTTCCCTTTATCCAGTCTCGCGGATACTGACGTCCTCATCACTCCAACGTTTTCACGAAGTCTGATCGCCATTAATAAGAATCCATTTCTTTTCATTCCCGAAATTCAATTCTGAGTAGCGCCATCTGTTGATATTTTTGAAAAATCAACAAAACTCGAGATGGAAATTATAACGGAGCTATTTTGCAACTCTCAGTTTCGAACGAGCTTGTCATACCAAAATGGCAAAAGTTCAGTAAAATGATCAATCATAGTGACAAAAACAATGTGTTTTAATGTTTTTCATTTTTACTATCAAAAAATGCCTGAATAAAGATAAAATGTAAGTTATTGTCAGATAACAAACGAACTATTTGCCAGATTCTTCTGAGGAATGATTAACCCTTGGTTACTTTAGATGGTTAAAGAAAAATATTTAAACCAAAATCTTAAACTGAAAATTTGAAAGCTGCTTTCGCTTTTTTAAAAAAAAATTTATTAGATAAACTGACTAATTTCTGCATAATTATTTAGCCTTATTCACATGAATTATCTCTGTCATAATAAACACTTAAATTATAAATAACTCAAATTAAATCGGAAAAAAAAAGATGTTTTAGAGAGAAAGATGTTTTTGGTCATCATTATCTCTACTAAACTTTTGTTAAAAAATTAATAACTGTCTGTAACATACTTGAAAAATGAGTTTTAAAACTTAAGGCACGTTCATTTTATGATAAAAAAAAATTCGTTGTGTGATTAAAAATTTTA